CAAGAGAGACTGATTTTGGCACATTACATATCCTCTAAAAAAATAAAGGCTGGGTGGGTGGGGCTAGTGCTTGCTAAAAATCAAAAAATAAAATATCAAAAAATTTAAAAAAAGCAAATCTTGTAAAATCGAATTCGAAATTCCAGTTTGCATTTTTTTTTTAGTTTTTTCAACCTTTAAATACTTCATTTGAGAATTTGTTTGACAATTTTGCAATTTTTAATTCCAAACTCTTGATTTTTCAAGTTTTAATTTTACAATTTTGGAATTTTCTGATTTTTAATTTTTCAAGTTCTCAAGTTAAGATTTTTCCTTTGCACGATTTGTCATTTTTGGATTTTTTAACTAAGCAAGTGTGAGGCAAGTACTGGCAAATTTCGACCAATTTTTGACGATTTTCGAAATTGAACTAAATAATTTTTCTTGTAGATTTAGGGGCGCAGAAGTCACTTCCCGTCCCATTTCTTCGATAGCCTAAATCGTTTTTTCAGAATAGTCGATTGAAATATCGCAATTTTTAAAAATTTTAAAAAATCCGTCGGGATATATATATCTCTGAATTTTTTCAGAATTTTTGGACAACTTTTTCAAGAATGAAATTTTACACTATGGTAGTAATTGCCAAATAACCTACTCTCTAAGAAAATAAAAACCAGGTGGGCCAAGCTAGTACTTACCAAAATAAGACTCTTTTGACAAATGACCTACTCCTCTAAGAAAATGTACTAGCCCCACCCACCCACCCTTTATTTTCTTGAAAGAGTAGGTCATCTGCCAAAATCAATCTTATCTTGGCAAGTATGAAACTCATTTTTGCAAATGACATATCATCTAAGAAAATAAGGGTGGGTGGGCGGGGCTAGTACTTGTCAAGATATGACTGATTTTGGCAGATGACTTATCCTTCTAAGAAAATAAAGGGTGGGGCTAGTACTTACTAAAAATAAATAACTAGAAAATCTAAAAGGACAAATTGAAAAATCGTATAAATGAGAAATCGAAAAATTGTACAACTGTTTAATCGGAAAATCAAAAAATTAAATATCGAAAAATTGAAAAAAAAAACAAATCTTATAAAATTGAATTCGAAAATTCCAGTTTTCAGCTTTTTTAGTTTTAAGATTTTTCAACAATTCCAGTTTTCATCTTTTTTAGTTTTAAGATTTTTCAACTTTTAAATATTCCATTTGATAATTTGTTGTAACTTTACAATTTTGGGAATTTTTGGTTTTTAATTTTTCAAGTTCCCTATTTAAAATTTTTCCTTTCCACGATTTGTCATTTTTCGATTTTTTAACTAAGCAAGTATGAGACTGATTTTTGCAAGTGATATATCCTCTAAGAAAATAAGGGTGGGTGGGCGGGGTAGTACTTCTCAAAATAAGACTGACTTTGGCAGATGACTTATTCTTCTAAGAAAATAAATGCTGGGTGGGTGGGGCTAGTACTTGCTAAAAATAAAAAAACTTAAAAATCTGACAATGAGAGTTGAAAAATCGGATAAATGAGAAATCTAAAAATTGTACAACTGTTTAATCGAAGTCCAAATTCCAGTTTTAATTTTTTTATTAGTGTTTAGATTTTTTAACTTTTAAATATTTAAGCAGTTTTTAATTCAAATTTTTTGATTTTTCAAGTTTTAACTTTACAATTTTGGAATATTTTGATTTTTAATTTTTCAAGTTCACAAGTTAAAATCTTTTCCTTCTCACGATTTGTCATTTTTTGCTTTTCTACTAAGCGAGTATGAGACTGATTTTTGCAAATGACATATCCTCTAAGAAAATAAGGGTGGGTGGGCGGTTCTAGTACTTGTTAAGATAAGACGGATTTTGGCAGATGACCCACTTTTCTAAGAAATAAAGGGTGGGTGGGCGGGGCTACTGCTTGTTAAAATAAGACTGATTTTGGCAGATGACTTATTCTTCTAAGAAAATAAAGGCTGGGTGGGTGGGGCTAGTACTTGCTAAAAATAAAAAAACTTAAATATCTAAAAATGACAATTGAAAAATCGGATAAATGAGAAATCGAAAAATTGTACAACTGTTTAATCGAAAAATCAAAAACGAAATATCTAAAAATTAAAAAAAAAAACAAATCTTATAAATTCGAATTCAAAATTTCAGTTTTAATTTTTTTATTAGTTTTTAGATTTTTCAACTTCTAAATATTTCAGCAGTTTTTAATTCCAATCTTCTGATTTTTCAAGTTTTACCTGTACAATTTTGGGATTTTTTGATTTTTAAGTTTTCAAGTTTTCAGATTAAAATTTTTCCTTTTCACGATTTGTCATTTTTCGATTTTTTAACTAAGTTTTATGGGACTGATTTTTGCAAATGACATATCCTCTAAGAAAATAAGGGAGTGTGGGCGGTGGGTTAGTACTTGAAAAGATAAGACTGATTTTGGCAGATGACTAAGAAAATAAAGCCTGGGTGGATGGGGCTAGTACTTGCTAAAAATAAGAAGCTTGAAAATCGAAAAAGGACAAATTGAAAAATCGGATAAATGAGAGATCGGAAAATTGTACAACTGTTTAATCGGAAAATCAAAAAATTAAATAGCGAAAAATTGAATAAAAAACAAACCTTAGAAAACCGAATTCGATATTCCAGTTTTCATTTTTTTTTTAGTTTTTAGATTTTTTAACTTTTAAATATTTCGTTATTTCATTTGATAATTTATTTGACAATTTTGCAGTTTTTAATTCCAATCTTTTGATTTTTCAAGTTTTAAATTTACAATTTTGGAATTTTTTGATTTTTAATTTTTCAAGTTCTGAAGTTAAAATTTTTCCTTTTCACGATTTGTGATTTTTCGATGTTTTAACTAAGCAAGTATGAGACTGATTTTTGCAAATGACATATCCTCTAAGAAAATAAGGGTGGGTGGGCGGGGCGAGTACTTGTTAAAATAAGACGGATTTTGGCAAATGACATATCCTCTAGGAAAATAAGTTAGTAGGCTAGTACTTGCCAAGATAAGACAGATTTTGGCAGATGACTTATTCTTCTAAGAAAATAAAGGATGGGGCTAGTACTTGCTAAAAATAAAAAACTTGAAAATCTAAAAAGGACAAATTGAAAATCGGATAAATAAAAAATCAAAAAATTGTACAACTGTTTTTACTACATTTTTGCAAGTAGGTGCATGTTTTCAAGCTCAATTCGGATTGCAGAGTTTTTGTTTGGATTAAAGAGGCATCGATTTCAACTAGCCTCTTTTCGGATTACTGGATGGTCGGATAATCGTGGCTTCGTATTATAGAGGTCATACTGTACTATGACAGTTCAAAGCCTTCTCTAAATTTCAAAGATTTCGAGGATTCCAAGGGTGTCAAAACTCTAAGGAGTCTATTAATACTAAATTGACGTATGTGCCCTTGCTAAAATGTTGATGACGTTATCAAAAAAAAATTATCTGGAAAAACTCACAATAAAGATGAAAAAAAAAAGAATTCTCAAAGTTAAAATTGATAATATTTTAATGAAGTTGTATTTGTTCGACTGTACTTTAGGGGCTAGGGAAGTTCTGTCGAAGTAACTTACAACCAATTTTGTTAAGAATGTGAAACCTTCTCGGGGGTACCAACTGTCTTTTTTAAAAATGTAAAACCTTCTCGGGGGTCCAAGCTGTATTTTTTAAAAATGTGAAACCTTCTCGGGGGCCCCAGAGATGTATTTTTTTAAGAGTCTGAAACCTTCTCGGGGCCCCAACTGTCTTTTTTAAAAATGTAAAAGCTTCTCGAGGATCCCAACTGTCCATATTTACAATGTGAATAGAACATTCCTAAATAGTAACACAACCTTAATGAAATATCTAATAAATCCAGTTAATTACTTATCGGTTACATAACCGGAGTACTCCATTGTGTTCTTATCATACCTAGTTCATTTCAGCTGATTGATCAGATTTCTTCGACGATCTCTACTACGTGTATAGAAAATAAAAAATAACGCAGAGACGCTTTTAAAATAATTTGATCGATCTTTTCATACCGCGATGTTATTAAGCAAAACATTGCAATAGTCGATTTCAGACCGACGATTCTGTCATGTCGACGACGTGACAAAATTACAAACAAGGAAATTTTCATTCTTTTGAGCAGCACCTGCCTGATATTCGTCACCGTTTTATTTTCGCAAAGCTAAATAGTAAATAAATTAAAAGTTAACTCTTGATTAAATTTTACGCCAACACGTCGTCGGAAAAATCGACGAGCAAAATTCAATTAAAATATTCCACTCTAATTGCTAATACTTCGTGCCACAGATATAACGTAGAATTCCCCAGCAAACAAACATATGGCAAGTGAAAATTAAAATTTAAGTGTATTTGACAACAAACGGCCTTTGGAAGTCATTCAGGCAGGTGTAAATTGAACAAACCTCCTACATAAGTCAAGCTTGAAGCGCGTTGGGTGTAAATAAATAAAACAGTGGAGTTTCCCGCCCACAAGTAGAAAAACACCGGTAGATTGGAAACACAAAACCTGTTGTGTACTGCCGTAAATTTTGTGTGAAATATAGAAACGATCCTTACACGGAATCCGATCAGCTGGTCTAAAATAAACCCACCTCTTCCGAACAAAATGGATTTACCGCTCCGAAATAAAATACCACGACTTTAATTTAAACGCTTGTAATGACTGTCAGGAATTCCTACTTTTAGCAAAAACCGCCAACTTAAAAGAATTAGGAAATTAAAACTCGACTATCTGTTTTATTTGTACCCAGATGTAGAAAGATAAAAGTGCCTTCGTTTTCTTCCTCCCCTATTCAGTCCGTCTTAAGCAATTTAAAAGCCGAACTAAAGCTAAAAAGAATAATCGCCACCAATCTCGCGGTTTTTAAAGCGTCTGAGTTCCTTAATAATACCGGCTTTTTGTATCAACTCTTAATTCTCGTTTCACTTGGAACTACTTGGACGAATTCAATCAATATACAATTCCGTTCGACGAACAAAATAAATGATCTAAGTGGTTTTCGATTATTCTTTAGGTGGAAGGCGTTAACGGAACGTTCCAAGGATTCGATTATGGTCTCCTCGTCCCTATCTCGAGTAATGTCCCCGAGCCAGACACTGGCGAAAATCTGATGCCCATCTGGGTGAAAGTGTTATGGACTATCATTTTTCTGGGGATGATTCTGGTGGCGACTGGGGGAAATTGCATCGTGATCTGGATTGTTACTGGTAAGTGGGTTAACTTCCCTTTCTCATATCTAATACTTGCCAACTTGTCGAAAAATGTTCCACCAAATGCAATTTTTGCACGTTTTAATAAAATTTTATTTTTTTCTGTAGCACATCGTAGAATGAGAACTGTCACGAACTACTTCCTAGTGAATCTGAGCATGGCGGATCTCCTCCTGACGACATTCAACTGCATTTTCAACTTTTCGTACATGATTCAAAGGTAATTCTTACTGATTTACGACCCCGTGTCATTGCCCCAATAAAAGAACGTGAATCGTTTCATAAAGCTTTGATATCGAACGAACAAATCGAGCGCGATCCCTGTGACAGGTTCCTTTTGTAATTAAACTCAACTGATCAAATTCTTTCGCGACAAAAATCCCCTCTTGAAAAATAACGTTCTAATTTACTCGGAAAAAAGCTTGACATTGATTAAATTAATTGTTTCACCACTGTTTTCTAATATCGCATTGTGTTGTTTATGGGGATTATTAAATTAGAACTTAACTGTGGAGAGCGAAATACAGTTATAATGTAATCTGCTATGAATACAATTAAGTACAAACTAAAAGCCTCGTATTACGGGTTGTTGTGGGGGTGCGATTTTTGCTAGCGTTGTTGCTATTAATTTTAGATAAGGGTGTTTGCTATCTCTGGGGTTAAATATCGCTGTAATTGTTGTCTGCTCTAATGCTATTTCTGGGTAATAAATTTCGACGCTTACGTAGATTCAGTTTCTCATAACATTCAGTTATTAATTATTATTATATGAAAAATTGATTACGATCTGTTTGAACTACTACTGATTACTTCCGTACCTATGAGCAGAGTTTCAGAACTTGATTCAACCCTTTATCAATTATCTACACGAGAGCAACTATTGATAACTAGGAAGACACATACCTTAGTTATGAAGCTTATTTTGGAATCTCTAAGTGAATCTAATTTAGTCTCACCAACAGAAGTCGTTTTCGACGTAAATTGGATAATCATTGCTATAATTAGAACAAAAACTGAACAACTATTAATAACATTGTGAAATAAATTATTAGTCTATCAGCAAGAGATATATTACAACAAACTTTCTTGAAACGCGCTTAACTTTTTTTATTTATATCATTTGAAGTTTCTAATAAATTGAGTTTCATTGTTCTAGAATTAATTGTCCCAGCGCATCCACCATTTTTGTCAAAACCTAAATAAATTGTTCGAATCAACTTGAATATGGTAATTTAATTTGTTTCAGCTCTGCCCGGGTCTTATTACGGTTTAAGCAACAAGATATTTAAAGAAACTAATTTGCTTAAAAATTTTTGAGATCAATGTTTTTTTTTTTAATAATTAGTTTCCCGGCGCCTCCTCCATTTTCAAGTAAATTCTCAATCGGTCAAGTTCAATGTCGTGTTTAATTTTTCTAAATTTTTGGAATTCTAACTTTTCGAATTCTTGATTTTCGACTTTTCATATTTCGATTTCCCGAAACTTTTTAGCTTGTAATTTTTCAATTTTTCGATTTTCGATTTTTAGATTTTTAGATTTGCCAATGTTTACATGTTTCGATTTTTCAATTTTTCGACATTTAAGTTTTGGGATTTTTCAATTTAGGAATATAACTTTCAGTTTTTGAGTTTCTAAGTTTTCGATTTCTTGATTTTCGACTTTTTAATTTTTCGATTTTTCCACTTTTCGATTTTTTAATTTTTCGTTTTCTTGATTTTTCAATTATTCAATATTATGATTCTTTGTTTTATTATGGATTTTTCAATTGTTTTTTTATTTTTCAATTTTTCGAATTTTCAAAATTCGATTTCTCAATTTTTTAATTTTTCGATTCTACAGCTTTAAGATATTTTAATTTTTCGATATTTAAATTTAAAATTTTTCAATTTCAAATTTTTTATTTTAGGCGGTTTTTATGTTTCGATTATGTCCTATGTGGGCGATTTGCCCGTTGGATGATCAATAAACTATTTATTTATTTATTTATTTATTCTCGACGTTTAAATTTTTTAGTTTTCAATTTTTCAATTTCTCGGATTCTGGACCTTTCGGCTTTTCAATTTTTAGATGTTTTCATTTTCCAGTGTTTCATTCATATAATTTTCAGTTTTTCAGTTCTTCCATTTTTCGGTTTTTTAATTTCGGTATTTTTAATTTTAGATTTTTCGCTTTCTTCTTTTTTCATTCTCAGTTTTTCAATTTTTCAATTTTTCAGTTTTTCAGTTTTACGTCAATTTTCAAATTTTTCGTTTTTTCGATTTTCCAATTTTTGGTTTTTTAATTTCTGAATTTTTTAAATTTTCGACTTTTTGATTTCTCAATATTACGATGTTTGAGTTTTGGGATTTTTTTATTGCAGAATTTTTCGATTTTTCGATTAATCAATTTTGCGATATTTGAGTTTCGGGATTTTTCAGTGTTTCGTTTCCTCAATTTTTCGATTTATTTAAATTCCGATTTTCAATTTCAAAATTTTTCATTTCTTGGACTTTTTTATTTTTTCGAATTTATTAATTTAATTACACTACATGTATCCCAATTGACATACGTGTCCTTGCTGATATAATATTGATCGGAACATTTTCAAATGAGCAAAATCACTGGAAGTACAACCTAGCCTGTTTATAAAGGCATATATATTTTTGAAGCACTTTTCAATTTTTCAATTTCTCAATTTTTCAATTCTTCAGTCTCCCGATTTTCAGTTTTTCGATTGGTCTATTTTTGGATATTTCAGTTTTAAAATTTTTCTTTTTTTTTTGTACATCAGTCCATCAGTTTTTGATTATTTACTTTTTCCGTTTTTCAAATTTTCAATTTTTTGGTTTCTATGTTTTCGATTCCTTGATTTTCGACTTTCCGATTTTTCGATTTCTTGGTTTTCCAATTTCTGGATTTCTCAACTCTCCGATGTTTCGATATTTCTATGTTTCAGTTTTTCAATTTTTCGATTTTTCAGGTTATTGATTTTTCAATTTTTTGATTTTTTTTAATTTTCAATTTTAAATTTTTCCACCTTTCGACTTCTTGATTTTTCCATTTTTCGACTTCTCAATTTTTCGATTTTTCAACTGTTCGAATTTTCAATTCCTCGATTTCTTGATTTTTAAATTTTTCCGTATTTTAATTACTTGATTTTTTGAATTTTCAATTGTTCGATTCTTCAATTGTTCTATAGAAAATTAAAATTTGACTTTTTTTTATTATATATTTTTCAATTCTTTTTTATATTTTTCAATTTTTCGAATTTTAAAATTTACAAATTATCGATTTTTTAAATTTTCGATTCTTTAGTTTTTGGATGTTTTAATTTTTCCATTATTTAATTTAAAATTTTTCATTGTCCAATTTTTAGTTTTCCGTTTGAATGACTTGATTTGCTCATGTTTAAATTTTTAGTTTTCAATTTTTCGATTTCTCGGTTTTTCGAATTTTGGCTTTCCGATTTCTAAATTTTTCGAGTCTTGATTTCTGTCGACTTTTAGATTTTTTCAAATGGGCAAAATCACTGGAAATACAGGCATAATTTTGCTTTTTTATAAACACTTTTATATTTTTGAGACAATTTTCAACTTTTCGATTTTTCAGTTTTTCAGTTTTCCGATTTTCTTCAGTTTTTCGATTATTCCATTTTTGGATATTTCAGTTTTAAAATTTTTCATTTTTTTTCACGTTATTGATTTTTATATTTTTTCATTTTTTAAATTTTCAATTTTAGATTTTTCGACCTTTCGATTTCTCGATTTTTCCATTTTTCGATTTTTCGACTGTTCGATTTTTCAACTCCTCGATTTCTTGATTTTTCAATTTTTCCGTATTTTAATTACTTGATTTTTTGAATTTTCAATTGTTCGATTCTTCAATTGTTCTATAGAAAATTAAAATTTGATTTTTTTTATTATGGATTTTTTAATTCTTTTTTATATTCTTCAATTTTTCGAATTTTAAAATTTTCAACTTTTGATTTCTCGACTTTTTGATGTTTTAACTTATCGATTTTTTAATTTTCCCATAATTTAATTTAAAATTTTTCATTTTCCAATTTTTAGTTTTCCGTTTGGATCACTTGATTTCATCATGTTTAAATTTTTAGTTTTCAATTTTTCGATTTCTCGGTTTTTCGAATTTTGGCTTTCCGATTTCTAAATTTTTCGAAGTCTTGATTTCTGTCGACTTTTAGATTTTTTCAAATGGGAAAAATCACTGGAAATACAAGCATAATTTTGCTTTTTTATAAACACTTTTACATTTTTGAGACAATTTTCAACTTTTCGATTTTTCAGTTTTTCAATTTTCCGATTTTCTTCAGTTTTTCGATTACTCCATTTTTGGATATTTCAGTTTTAAAATTTTTCTTTTTTTTCAGGTTATTGATTTTTATATTTTTTCATTTTTTAAATTTTCAATTTTAGATTTTTCGACCTTTCAATTTCTCGATTTTTCCATTTTTTGATTTCTCAATTTTTCGATTTTTCGATTGTTCAATTTTTCAACTCCTCGATTTCTTGATTTTTCAATTTTTCAGTATTTTAATTACTTGATTTTTTGAATTTTCAATTGTTTGATTCTGCAACTGTTCTATAAAAAATTAAAATTTGAATTTTTTTTTAATTATGGATTTGTCAGTTCTTTTTCATATTTTTCAATTTTTCGAATTTTAAAATTTTCAACTTTCCATTTCTCGATTTTTTGATGTTTCAACTTATCGATTTTTTTAATTTTTCGATTCTTCAGTTTTTAAATGTTTTAATTTTCCCATAGTTAAATTAAAAATTTTTCAATTTCCATTTTGTTGTTTTCCGTTTGAGTCACTTTGAATTCTCAACCTCTCGATCTTTTCATGTTTGGATTTCACAATGTTTAAATTTTTAGTTTTCAATTTTTCGATTTCTTGGTTTTTCGATTTTTTGTATTTTCGATTTTTATATTGTCTTGATTTCTGTCGACTTTTAGATTTTTCGATTTTCCCGTTCATCGATTTCTAGACTTTTCGTTGAAACGATTTGTCCATTTTTCAGTTTTTCAGTTTTTCAATTCTTCAATTTTTTTACTCCTCAATCTTCGAATGTTTCGATTTTTCACGTTTTTAATTTTTGAATTTTTGGATTTTTAAAATTTTCAATCATTTGATTTCTCAACTTTACTATGTTTCAGTTTTGAGGTTTTTTAATTTCCCAATCTGTTGAAATCTGTAGAAAATCTTTTTACAAAATATTCAAC